TCTGAAACTCAGTGAGCTAATATCCTCAAAGAAAGAAGTGAAATTCAGAATGAGCTGAGAGAAACAGAATGAAATTGAAGAGAGATTTGAAAGAAAAGAGCACTCAGGAAGTATGGGAAATCTCAAATGAGATACTAAAGGCACAGTCCCACTGGTCTGAATACTTGAATGGATCCTGCACCAAGCAGGTGTTTAGACCAGCTGACCCCTTAGGTTCCTTCCAACTGTATCATTCTAAGTGCAATGTTCTTTGCTTAGGAAACAAAAATCAAAGGTGCAGGTATTGGGTGGGGGATACTTGGCTTGCTAAAAAGATTTTGTAATAGGGATTGGAGACTGAATATGAACCAGAAGCATAAAGTACCTTCAAAGAAGGCATGCACAATATTAGGCTGCATCAAATCAATGATAACTTCCAAATTCTGAGGGTAATTTTCTCACTCAGTTCTGGGCAACACCCATCAATACAGATTCAGAGCAATTGAAAAAGGTTCCCAGTAGGTCAACAAGGCTGATCCGGGACTAGAAACCAAATCCTCCTCCTAGATGAAGAGGAGGAGCTCAGCATGTTTTGCCTTGAGAACAGGGTGATGGTGCTGGGGTATGTGACAGCGTTTTTTGAGCAAGCAGAAGGCTGTCACAGAGATGGAGGACAAAATCTGTTGTCCCTCATTCCTGAATGCAGGGCATGGATTTCAATTACAGAAAGGCCTTCCCTGGGTCCTCCCCCTAATCCCGGGGTGTACCTGAGGCAAGAGGATTCCCACATCCTGGGCTGCCTTCCTGGCAGTCAGAAGCTCCAAACACAAAGGCAGAAACAGTTGTTGTCCTGCCACTCCCTGGCCAGGTGACAGAGTGTAGAAGTGAGGATTCACTCCTTTCTTCTGCTCCGGGGGACAGACCAATCTTACAAGAGAGGAACAGAATGAAACTGTATCCTTAAAAAAAGAGATAGGTGATATGAACCCTTTTACTTTAAATGATTAAATGCAAATACTCAAGCTGAAGAAAAAAGACAGCGTACAGAGCTGCCCAGTTCCATCCAGAGTCATGACATCTATATTGGGGCACTGTATAAAAAAAGAGAACAAAAATGTTTTTATGGTTTCACTAATTTAGTTTATATTGTTGTATTGTTGAAGTTTTTATTTCTGTAAACTGCTGAGAGACACAAGATTGCAAACTGCTGCTTTTGAACTGAACAGATGCACATCAGTTGCCTTCGGCTGGGCTGGTGTGAGACAAAGGCAGCATTATGAGGGCACGTCCTCTAACCATGGTTAGCAAGGCATCTTCATGCTACAATTAGAGGGACATGAAGATGATCCCTCAATCTTTTTAACTTGGGGAATTCTCAGTCCTTTGGCTGTGTTAGGTCTCTCCTCTACTTGGAATGATTGTTTGGGGTTCTCCTTCAATTATCTGCTCTTTCTCCCAATTCAGTTCCAGAATCCAACCTGGGGCTCATCATCGGCTGCGTTGTGGCTGCTGTTGTCCTGATTATTGTTGTGATTGCTGGGATCTTGGTGTATCGGAGTAAGTATCCTGGAACTACCTTTGCTGGATGGTTGTGAAGGAAGGTAGGGAGATTCCTCCCAAGTGTCTCCCTTAGGGAGCTCCTTTTGGGCTTCCTTCTTCCCAGTTTTCCCAGCCCTCTTTGGGAGCATCTGAAATGTCATCCTCTTGCTGGGACTCCAGTCTTGGCTCAGCGGAGTCTGAGGTCTGAACAGTCCCGTCTTCTTAGCTGGGAGGAGGCATCGCAGTTCTGTCCCTTCCAAAGGCTTTGGTCAAAGACCAGCAGAGGAGGAGTTCAGTGAAAATCTTCCTCCTCTCACAGCTGCTGCTGCTTTCCCCATTTCCCTCCATCCATCTCAGAGGCAGAAGGTCTTTCTTGGAGCAAATCTGGTGGTGTCTTTGCAGTCTGAAGGTCTTCCTGTGTCTCTTAAATAGTAGTTGCCAGGAGAGGTTGTGACTAAACAACTGTGAAAACACCTCCTAGGGGTCTTCCTCCTACAGAGGGAGAGATTGGATGATCTCTGATGGGTTCTTTTTATTTCTGACTGATTTTTGTCCTTGCAGAGAAACATCAAGAAGGCTACAAGGCAGCATTAAGTGAGTGATTTCTTCTCGTTATATGTTAGCTCCAATTCAGAGCAGGGATTAGAAGTAGCATCAGTTGAAAGTGTGTGTGTGTGTGTGTGTGTTTGTATGTGTCCAAACAGAAAAGCAGCTCATGAAGCTGCGGTGTTGTGCTATCTTCCTCTTCCTCCCAAGAACTAAGATGGGGGAGGTGGGTCCTCTTTTCATTACAGCCAGGCTGTTCCTGGGAGTGGAGACCTCAGGGAGAAATATCTGGTACAAGGAACCCTCAAGAAGGTGAAAAGACCGTGCTGGGTAGAAGATCCATCTGATGGAGAAGCTGTTCTGTCTTCCAAGTGTGCGGAAAGGAAAGGCTTGGCCATAATCTGGTCAGGAAGCTCCGTAAAAGTAGTGAACAAAGAAGGGATTTAGGAGAAAAGGAATTTTGGTAGATGCCAGCTAGATCTCCTCTTGTTCTGCCACCACAAGGCTAAGTATGAACTGATTGGAAAGAGAAACTTAGGAGCCATCTGTATCCTCACATCAGCTGCACCCTGTGGCTGTAGAATTGCTGGAATATTGCTCTGTGTGGAAAGATATAAATGTTAAGAATTCTTTCCTTTGTCTCTTAGCTAAAGCAGTTTGGTTGAAACTCTGTGGGTGTATCTGTGCGTCTGTGTGTGAAGGAGAGAGGGAGCTGGAGTCAGAAAGAGTGAGTTTCTCCACCTCTTCCCATCCAGCCAAGGGATTGACCTCCCCACCTTCTTTCCTTTCTTTTCCAGCAAGTGACAAAGGATCTGACAGTTCAAGCGCAGGTAAGCTGGAGGGAGCCGCTCCTGAATGAGGAAGAGCAATTCTGCCCCTTAGCGAGAGTGCTGGGGGTTGGGGGGGTGAAAAGAGGGAGACCCCCCACCTCCCTGTTTTTAAAGGGCCTCCTAATGCACACTCCATGTGTTCCCTCTGTGTCTGGTTCTGCTGAACCCAGGATTTGTTTGGATAGAACTAGAACAAAAGATAGGTAAATCTATTGAGATTTAAATTGCTATTGTTGCCAGAATGGACACTTTTTCACATAGTGTAATACCTTAGATGTGGGTGGGAGAATTATGTTTTTTCTCCTGTTTGCTTAGATGGAAAGTTGTTCTTGAACAATTAAAATTATTTTACATCAGTATATGAACAGAAAGTATCGGATTGGAAAAGTGGTTTCTCATTAAAGGTGGCCTTAAGTGAAATTACTGATTTTTTGCTTGTCCCAAGGAGTTGCTTTTTCCTTCAATTTTAATAATTTTGTTCTCTTCTTTTCCTTGTTCCTCCTTTAACTCTGTACAAAATCAAGTGCTTCACTTTTCTCCCACCTCCTCTCTTTTTCTTGATTTTTAACACAGTTACTAAATTCACTTTTCTCCCACTGCTTTGTTTCTGCAGAAGAGAAAGGGAAATTCTCTCCCTGTTGGATTTCCAGCCTCATTCATTCAGGCAGGGAAGGCAGTTCCAGAGCTTGCATGGCAGAGTCTGGCCTCCTTTGGAGGAAAAAGCCCCTCAGCTTTGGGTGGGAAGTAGGGAAACCACCAGAAATGTCATGAGCCCCAGTGGTTAGTGACTGTTCTGCTTGCACAGCCCGGTCTCCTCTGAGAGGTTCGTGAAGCTGAAGAGGTTTAATGGTGCAGAGAGAGATGCCTCCTCCTCAGAGGATCTGGAGAAGGGAGAGACTCACTCTTTGTCTTTCTTCCCAATGTAGGGAGCAATGAGGCCATTTAGCAGCCCCCTGGCAGGTGAGTGTCCCCAGTGGGGGCTGTATTGGGAAGGGGAAGGGAGGTGACGGCTTTCAGGTGAAAGGATCCATTGATGGTGAAAACTCGCTTCTCTCCCAGCTCATCTCAAGCACTGAAGGGTGAGGAGATTGGGGGAGAGGTGGTGGGGCTCTCGGGAAGGGTCAGCCTCTCTCCCTCCTCCCTGGGTTCCTTGTGATGGAGGAGGCTAGGCTGTTTCCACTTTCCCTCTCTGGCTTCGGAGGAAATGGCAGGTGACCGCAGCTAGGAACAGAAGGGGCCCTGACTTCTCCCTGTTGCTGAGGGAAGAAGGCACCCTGTCCTCCTCCTCCTTGTCCACAGGAAGGGCCCTTCCCAAAGCAGGAGGTGGGACTGCCATTCTGCAGGGCATCTCCCAGGATCTAATTGTCTTGCATGGACAAAGCTCAGAGACCTCCAGAGATCAGAGTGTCCCCAGTGCAAGGGGGGGGGGCAGCAGGGGGACTTTCTGAATGTCCTACAGTCATGGATGGAGAGGAGGCTTCTCTCCCCTCCTTGTGTCCATCTGGGAATCCAACCCTCTAGATGCTTGAAGGAAGACCTGGGCTCTCTGGAGGTCATGAAACCTGTTGCACTTGGTTCCCAGGGCAAAATTGGGTGAGAACTGGGTTTGTATGTTTGAGGGGGGAGGGGATATCTATACTGTTTATAATTTGTGAAGGAGGTTCCCAACTCCACCCCACTCCAGCAGCCATTCACAGCCCTGCCCATCCCCTCTTGTATTTCAGAAATCCCACCCAGCTGATTCCTCTCCATCTCTATCTACCTCTCTTGAGGCTGCTGATTCTGTTCCTTCACTTGATGATCCTCCAGCCTGGACCCTGGGCTTTCTCATCTTGGCTTCCTCTCCAACTAACCCTCCTGTTTTTTCCACCCTCTTTGTAGCGCAACTTTGGGGCTGCAGACTCCCCATGTAGGGAGACAGGAAAGAAGAGCGATCAACCTTCTGAGTTACGCTGTTCTCTTAGGAGGACCTCTTCAGGCCCTTCCAGTTGGCTAAAATACTAAGATGTATTTTGGGTCTTTCATGAGTGCCCTTGTGCAGGTTTTTGTCTGGGAAAATCGGGGTTTTTTCATCTGAAGCATTCTAGGACCTCCCCTGAAAAGGACATGTAGTTGATTCATCTGGAGAATAAAGGAAGACTTTGTTTTTATATGTAGAGTAAATAAATGTCTTGCAAGAAAAACCATCTTAGAAGGGACATTCTGTCCATTGACGGGAAGGGAAAATAGCTCTTTCAGCTGCTATTTCTGAAGTGTGCTTTGAGATTTCTTGTATAAAAAATAGTTAATTTTAAAAAAAATCTGTTGCTGAATTAATTGGATTATATATTTGAGTATCCAAAAATTTAACAAATAACAAGGGTGGTGGCTAAGTCATTTGGAGTTTTGCTTTATGTGATATTTCTTTACACACATATTGTAAGATTGCCAAAATTGTTTGCTGAAAATAAATGATTTTGTTTTCCTCTCACCTCAGTTGCTACCTGTTTTGGGAACTTGGAAATAGGGGGGATTTGACCCACCTTGTTGATCAGAGACCCCGATTTCTGTTTGAGCGGTAGGAAGTGGGGGAGGCAAGACAAACTTCAAAGGAGCAAGAACTGGGGTGGCTCCTGTCTCTTCCTTTGGGGAGGAGGCAGACTTTTGCTCCTGTGTCCAGGCGTTTCTCTAGCATCACCAGTTGATCTTCTGCAAAATGGCTGTTTGGTTTTGGCTTGATGGTTGCAGGTGTCAGGTTCGGTCAGCACGAGGCTTCAGGGAAGCACGGGGTTGCAGGGAAGCT